GGCCACTGCACTCCAGTCTGGGCGACAGAGTGAGACTCCAACTCAAAAAAACAAAAAAGATACTCATGGGAAAAAGTATCACCACAAAATTTCAAATTTTACTATTCCTATTATTAAAGGACAAATTTGTTTTTTCTTTGAATGAGATGTGATATTTTATGAATAATATTAAGGGAAACAACAAATAGTTATAAATATCAGATATAGAGAAACCAATAACTTTATAAATACAAACACCAGATTTATTCTAATGTATTTCCTTTTCACCAAATAACTCATAACTTCTTACCCCTGTGTCTGTCCAGTCTACACTCAGAACTTTGTCTTCATGAGCAGCCAGATCATAGAGAGGAGCCTTACAACTAAAAGAAGAAAATAGTTATATGTTATATGCATTAACAGTATTAAAACAAATATACATAAACAATCACCATCTTTTAAAATTAGAGACAGCCAGCCTCGGTGGCTCAGCCTGTAAACCGGCACCTTGGGAGGCTGAGGTGAGTGGATTGCCTGAGTCCACAGGCTCGAGACCCGCCTGGGCAACTTGGCAAGACCTCATCTCTACAATAAATCAAAAAATTAGCCAGGCGTGGTAGCGCGCGCCTGTAATTACAGCTACTTGGAAGGCTGGGGCGGAAGTATTGCTGGAGCCCAGAAGGTCGAGGCCGCAGTGGCCGGGAGTGGTCACTGCACTCCAGTCTGGGTGACAGAGTGAGACTCCAACTCAAAAATAAATAAATTAATTAAAAAAAAAAATTAGAGACAGAGTTTCAATCTGTTGCCCAGGCCGGAGTCAGGAACATTATCATAGCTCAGCGCAGCCTCAAACTCCTGTGGTTTAGGCAATCCTCCCACCTCAGTCTCCCTAGTAGCTGGGATTACAGGCATGTGCCACCACACCGGGCTAATTTTTTCATCTTCTAAGAGAAGATGTCTCACTAGGTTGATCAGGCTGGTCTCAAACTCCTTGCCTCAAGTGATCCTCCCAAAAGTACTGGAATTTGAGGTGTGAATCACCATGCATGGTCAAAGTTTACCATCCGTGCCCAAAGACCACTTAATCTTAAAATTCTGAGTATTTACTTGACCACCTCTTCTGTTTTTCCTATATCATTAGCAAACTACAGAGATTTATTGCAACAAATAAATTTGGGAAAAATCCTATTTCATTGTACAAATTTACTTATAATTAGGCCAATTTTCACACTTAACTTTTTTTCTTTTACCCCCAAATCGTGGTTTTACATTATACCCTTTGTCTAGCCATTTGTATACTGACACTTCCCAAGTTTTATATCTTCAGCCCAAACTTCTCCCCTGAGCTTGATATTCAATTGCCGGACAGATGGATGTCTTTTAGTTACTAGCAATTTAAAACAATCAAAACAAAACTCTTGCTTCTCCATCAGAAACCTGTTGTTTTGTTTTGTTTTGTTTTGAGTCAGAGTCTCACTCTGTCGCCCAGGTTGGAGTACAGTGGCACGATCACGGCTTACTGCAGCCTCGACCTCCTGGGCTCAGGCAATCCTTCCACCTCAGCCTTCCAAGTAACCAGAATTGCTGGTGTGTGCCACCAAGTCTAGCTAATTTTTAAATTTTCTTTAGAGACGAAGTCTCACCAATTTTTCCAGCTGGTCTCAAACCCCTGGGCTCAGGCAGTCCTCTTACATCCACCTCCCAAAGTGTTGCAGGGATTATAGGTGAGCCACTGCACATGGTCAGAAACCTGTTTTTCTACTCTTTCTCATCACAGTAAGTAGGACCACCATCACCCTATTGCTTAGGCAGAAAATGTAGGCATCATTTTTGACTCCTACCTCCACATTCAATCTATAAGCCAATCCTGCCAAAGGACTATCTTAAAAATATACCTAGAATCCAATCACTTCTCTCTAGTGCTAACACCATAGTCCAAGTCACCATCACCTGTCTCTTGAATTACAGCAGCCTCTCTGCTTTCATTCGTGTTCCCTTGTGTAAAACTCACCAAAGCCTTCCCATCACACTTAGAATGAAACCCAAACTCCTCCCTATGTTCTGTAAGGTCCTGACTGGTATAACCATTACCACCCGCATGGCCTGCCACTCTCCTTACTTACTCCACTCCATCAACACTGGCCTTCTTGCTATTTTGCCAACTTGCCAAGATTTGTCCCACTTCACTGGCTCTTCCATCTGCCATGACCTGTGCATGGCTCACACCTTCACACTGTTCAATTCAGTATTTAAATATCACTTTCACAAAGAGGCCTTCCTACAAAAGTGTCTCTTTATCTTGCTTTACTTTCTTTATAGCACTTATAGCTGTTACCAGAAACTATACGCTAATTGCTATATAAAGTATACAATCAAAATGCATATGCCTTCTAGATGTTAACAAGTCATGTATCATAAGGTAGTATAAAGATGTTAGAAAGTAGATTTAAGGCCAACAACCACACACAAACAGGTATTAGGTCAATACATGTCCATTCTACTTGTAAAGATAGGTGAATAAATTGTATATGCGTTTTATTGGGGGCACTCTATATACACTATTATCATAGCACTAGCCTATGAGTCAGAAAGACATTTTAAATATCTGATTATTTTTTAAAATATGTACTTTTATTTAAACTTCTATTTTTTTGTTTGTTTGAGACAGCGTCTTACTCTGCTGCTCAGGCTGGAGTGCAGTGGCATGATCATGGCTCACCACAGCCTCAAACCCTGGACTCAGGGGAACCTCCTGCCTCAGTCTCCAGAGTAGCTTAGACTACAGGCATGGTCTTGATCTCCTGACTCAAGCAATTCTCCTCAGTCTCCCAATGTGCTGGGATTACAGGCATGAGCCACCGCACTTGGTCTAATTTTCTATTAATATATAATTTATAGTAAGGTTCAAGGTAATCTTTCTAAACTCTATTTTTCTTCTGTTTTATAATGAAATCAGAAAGACTGATTTTATATAGATTACAATTTATTTGGTAGAAGATAAATTAGTACACAATCAGATGCTTTCAGAATGCAAAAAGCAACATATTAACACGAAGAAAATTTATTTGTTCCTGGATTTTTGGATACCAGTATTTATCATATTAGGTAGTATAACCAAAAAACCTTTTCTTACTCCTCTGGTTCTGGATAATCATTTAAATATTCATTTCATTTTCTTTGCATGTAATAGGTAGTTGATATCTTTCTTTTATAGATCATAAATAGGATTTACCTTCTTGTATCCCACAGCTTGACAATGTTATCTAAAGAACCTGAAATCAGCTGCTGTTCATGAGTAGGAGACCACTTTACTGATGTCACCCATCCTGTATGTGAGGTTAGGGACAGCGACACCAAAGAACCATCTGAACAAAGCAAAAAACGCAACAAGTGTTGAGTTTTGAAAAGAGGAGTAGGCAGAACAAACCCCCAAAATATTTGTTTATATTTGCAGAAATGTATCCTTTTTAAACATTTCTCTACTGAGATAAATTGATGTTATTTACACATATTTTTCCCCCAGTGGTTTACATGACTCACCTTTAGTTCGGGGATCCCATAGTCTGATATGCCTATCTGTGCTTCCAGATGCTAAACGTTTACAAAGTGGAGAATAGGAAATGCAATTAAACACTTTATTTCCTGTCTGAAAAAGAAAAGGAAAAAACATTTAAACCATGGTAAACTAAAAATAATTATCTCCAGAAGTTTAAACCTAAAAAGATCAAAGTCAATCCAAGGACCACCGAATTTATAAACCTTACCAAAGTTGACTTAAGACTGCCAGACTCAACATCCCACATTCTGATTGTGTGGTCCCAAGACGCACTGCAGATTTCTTCAGCATCTGACCATAGAACTGAGGAAATTGCTTCCTTATGGCCTGAGAGAGTCACCATGGGAGTCTAGAAATGAAAGACCCCAAATGCAGAAAGCATTTTCATTATAGAGTATTGAAACAATAACAGCTACTACTTCCAAAGCCTGTATGCCAGAGATAAGCTGCCCTGACTAATTTCTTCTGTACAAAAAGATGGATATTTAGTTGGGCTCGGTGGCTCAGCCTGTAATCCCGCGCCTTTGGGAGGCTGAGGTGAGTGGATTGCCTGAGTCCACGGGTTCGAGATCCGCCTGGGCAACTTGGCGAGATCTCATCTCTACAATAAATCAAAAATCAGCCGGACGTGGAAGGCTGAGGCAGAAGGATCGCCGGAGCCCAGCAGGTCGAGGCTGCGGTGGCCGGGAGCGGCCACTACACTCCAATCTGGGTGACTGAGTGAGACTCCAACTCAAAAAAAAAAAAAAAGAAAGATGGATATTTGTTTTTATTTTACACATGAAGACACTGAAGCTGGGAAAGATAATGTGTGCAAGGTCATACATCTTATAAGTGGCAGACTTGGGTTTAAACCCAAATGTTACCCCAGTTTGTAGTCTTTCCACTATATTCTGCTGCTCTTGACATGTTCTACTTTACATTTTGAGTAGTAGTAACACTAACTTAATTCTCCTAGCTGACAAACATGTTATATTATATTAAAGGTTAGTGCTGGAGAGTTCCCCAGTGGCCTTGGACTGACTGACTCAGTTTCTCCCCTTTTTTCTTCTTGCCTGTAGCTCTCAGAATAACTGTAGAATGTGCTGGGAATGTAACATCCTCAGACAGGGAAGGACTGGTCAGCAGAGCCTGGGTTCAATTCCAGTACACCCCCAGAAACAGAATGTCTTTCAAAGCTTCGCTCAGTGAGTTGAATGATTTTCCCCATAGTATAAAACCCCAAGGTAGACTGCTTTTTGGGTCCCTCAGCTGTAGTGCAGTGGGACACACTGTGAGACTCCATTGGTCCCTAGGCAGCTTTCTTGAGCTGTACGGGACTGGTGCACCACAGAGCCCAGGCTTCTGCTGCCCTTTGCTGCCTATCTGTAATAAACCCATTTCACATAATTTGTTGTATGTTTTGTCTCATTGGCCTCAGGCAATTGGTAAAACTGCAGCCCAGGATGCAGTGAGTGAGTGTTTGCACTTCTAATCCTAGTATTTGATCTTTATTATCCTCCATGAAGTGGGAGTCCTCCTTTGGGATTATTAGTGAACCTGCTTCACTTAGCAGAATAAGCTTTGGGGTCAGACAGGTCTAGGTTTCAGTGAAGGTGCTACCAATTTCTATTTAACTCTTCCAGGCAAATTAGTCTCAATAACTTATTCTCATCACCCCATTTCCAAGCATCTTTGTCCTATTATTTAATCTTTACATAATGTCCAAGGCGCATTTATTAATACTCCAAAATCTCAAACTAAAAGCCCCAAACTAGACATAGCACCTATCTTTAAATATAAGAACCATGTAAAAGAAAGAGAAAAGAATGCTGGAATGGGAATTAGTCCATCTACTTTTATAATTTTGTTACATTTAACCTCCATAAATTAGACCTCATCTGTACTATGAGGGGGTTATATTAGAAGGGAGCAAATTCTTTTAGTAAAGAGTCAGCAACTAAATATTTTAGCCTTTGCAGACCACTTTGCATATATATACACACACATCACTCAAAAAAAAAAAAAAATTGGCCAGGCTCGGTGGCTCAGCCTGTAATCCCAGCACTTAGGAGGTAGAGGTGAGAAGACTGCCTGAGCCCACAGGTTCAAGATCAGCCTGGGCAATTTGGCAAGACCTCGTCTCTATAATAAATAAATAAAAAATTAGCCAGGCATGGTAGTGTGCTCCTGTAGTTCCAGCAATTGGAAGGCTGGTGGAAGGATCCCCTGAGCCCAGTAGGTTGAGGCTGCAGTGGCTGTGAGCATGCCACTACTATACTCCAGCCTGGGCAACAGAGTGAGATGAGACTCCAACTCTACCAAAAAAAAAAAAAAAAATGAACATTGACAGTTACTATAAATAGACTAAGTAGGATAGTACTGGAGGGAAAAGCAATTTTGAGATACATAGAGAAAATGATATTACTGTATTTTAATATATGAAGCAAATAACAACTGATTGCCAGCATTACTCACTTTAATGCAAGTCAGGTACTGGAAAGAAATGCAAAAGGGAAAAAACTATTTTTGATGTTTTATCTCTTTTACTATTATTTCACTAAAATTAAAATGTTTCCATTATTTTTAACTGCAATAACATTTTACCTGCAATTTGCACTTCAACAGTTTCTGGCGTGACTTCAACTAATAATTTATGAATGTGTAAGCTTAAGCCCTGTGAAAAGCTTAATGATTTCTCAAGAGAAATCAGTGATGGTGTTTTAAAAAAAGAAGGAAAAAAAGCTAAATGAGAAAATCAATATACTATTTTTTCCTCTCAAGTAAGATGAACTATGGAAGTAATCTTATAGAAGTATACACTTAAAATTAAAAGGTATTAGCAAAGCAGAGTGGGAGAAAATACTTGCAATACATATATCTAGCAAAGATCTTGAACCCAGAATACATAAAAAAACTCTTACAAGTCAATAAGCAACAGACAAGCAACAAGCTATTTATTTATTTATCTGGAGTCAGGTTCTCACTTTGTCTCCCAGATTGGAGTGCAGTGGAATGATCATGGCTCAGTGCAGTTTACTGCCCAGTCTAGGCTTTTTAAAAACAGGCTAAAGTACAGGCATGGTGACTCAAGCCTGTAATCCCAGCACTTTGGGAGGCTGAGGCGAGAGGACTGCCTCAGCCTAGGGGTTCGAGACCAGCCTGGGTAACATGGCGAGAACTTGTCTCTACAATAAATCAAAAAATTAGCCAGGTGTGGTAGCGTGCACCTCTAGTTTCAGCTACTGGAAGGCTGAGGCAGAAGAATCACCTGAGCCCAGTAGGTTGAGGCTGCCATGGCCATGAACGTGCCACTACACCCTAGTCTGAGTGACAGAGTGAGACACCAACTCAAAAAAAAAAAAAAAAACAGGGCTACAAATATGAGTTGATGTTTCACAAGCGAATATCAAAGATCCAGGGCTAAAATTAAATTCTACAACATATTACCAAAAATGAATAAAATGGTACACTTTTTAAAAGTAAATTTATGGCCAGGCTCGGTGGCTCAGCCTGCAATCCCAGCGCTTTGGGAGGCCGAGATGAATGGATTGCCTGAGCCCGCAGGCTCGAGACCTGCCTGAGCAACTTGGCGAGATCTCATCTCTACAATAAATCAAAAAAATCTAGCCGGGCATGATAGCGTGCACCTGTAGTTCCACTACTTGGAAGGCTGAGGTAGAAGGATCGCCAGAGCCCAGCAGGTCGAGGCTGCAGTGGCCAGGAGCGGCCACTACACTCCAGTCTGAGTGACAGAGTGAGACTCCAACTCAAAAAAAAAAGTAAATTTATGTAAGCACATGTTACTTGTTAAAATAAAAGTCAGTCATGACTTTTATAAACTGACTATATCAAGTGCTGGTAAAGATGTGGAGTAAATTTAACTATCATACACTGTTAAATGAAGTGCAACTGATATATAACCATTTGGGAAAACTTTTTGGCGGTATCTAACATTCAAGAAGCTGAACATACATGCAAACTGTGAGTGATTCAGCAATTAAACTTCTGAAATTCTACATATGTACGCCAAAAGACCACATATGTACACCAATAAACAAGTATAATAACTCTCTTGGAAGCTTTATTCATGGCGGCCAAGAACTAGAAACAACCTAAATGTCTACCAAAAGAATAGAAAAACTGTGGTATAGTCATGCAATGGAATGCCATATATTAATGAAAAGCACTACTGCATATAGCAGCATGAATGAATCTCACAGATATTATATGAAATTTAAAAACAGGTAAACAAATATAAGATGGTATAAATCAGAAGTGATTACATTGGGATGCTATTGATTGCGAGGCAGGCTAGAGGAAATCTTCTAGAGTGCTGGTAATTCTCTGTATTTCAATTTGGGTAGTGATTACTTGGGTATGTACATTTGTAAAAATGCACTGAGCTGTACATTTAAGCTGTACACTTTACTGCATGCACAGCAACCTTTAATTAAAGAGAGGGAAAAAGCTACCTTCTCAGCAAAAAATTTTTATAACTCAAGAAATCTATTCCTAGTCAGATATATTTAGAGGTTTGACCAGGGATATGCATGAATATAAATTACTACTGGCACAAAAGCCTAGCAGAGTAAGGAAACTGAGTAGGTGCCAGTCCATTCCTCTTGCAACTCAGCAGTCTATGTTTTAATATATTAAGAAGTTATACATCACTACTTTCAGTTGGAACCAGTGAGTGCTATTGTTTATTGCATTTTCTTTGATGAATCATTTATGATCATACTTTATTCCTCATTTTCAACTATTTTTGTAAGGTATCTTACTGGTGACTACAAGAACTAACGTGCAAATGTGTGCCTTATTTTTATTTTTTTTGTTTTTTTTTTTAGTTGGTGTCTCATTCTGTCACCCAGGCTGAAGTGCAGTGGCACATTCATAACCATCAGAGCCTCGATCTGCTGAGCTCAGGCGATCAATCCTTCCACCTCAGCCTTCCAAGTAGCTGGAAACACAGGCGCACACCACCATGCCCGACTAGTTTTTTGATTTATTGTAGAGAGAAGGTGCTGCTAAGTTGCCCAGGCTGGTCTTGAGCTCCTGGACTCAGGCAATCCTCTTGCCTCTGTCTTCCAGAGTGCTGGGATTGCAGGCGTGAGCCACCACACCTGGCTGTGTGCTTTATTTACTGCACATTCATTACAGCTTCACACGAATATATAAATACAGGTCAAAGGTCAGGCATGGTGGCTCACACTTGCAATCCCAGCACTCTGGGAGGCCAAGGAGGGAAAAATGCTTGAGCCCAGGAGTTCAAGACCAGTCTAAGCAACATAGTGAGACCTCATCTCTACAAAAAATTGTAAGAATTAGTTGGGCATGGTGGTGTGCCCTGTAGTCCCAGCTACTCAGGAGGCTAAGGTGGAAGGATCACCTGAGCCCAGGAAGTTGAGGTTGCATGTGATCACATGTGATCGTGCCACTGCACTCCAGCCTGGGTAACAGAATGAAACCCTGACTCTAAGCAAACAAACAAACAAATAAATGAATAAGACCACAGTAATTGCCATATATTTCTCAATAAAGACCTAAGCCAAGTCAATTCTCACAAATACTTACTCTTGTTAGTCCCAACTGCTCTGTTTTCTGTTTCTTTCTTGGTCGATTTGTGGATTCTTCCATTTCATCTTCTTCATCTGTAGGGACTGGATCATAGAGAATTAGGTTTGGTATTTAATTTAATTAATTAATTAATTTATTTTTGAGTTGGAGTTTCACTCTGTCACCCAGACTGGAGTGCAGTCGCCGCTCCCGGCCACTGCAGCCTCGACCTGCTGGGCTTCGGTGATCCTTCCGCCTCAGCCTTCCGAGTAGCCAGAATTACAGGCACGTGCTACCACACCCAGTTGCTTTTTGATTTATTGTAGAGATGAGGTCTCGCAAGTTGCCCAGGCGGGCCTCGAACCCGCAGACTCAGGCAATCCACTCACCTCAGCCTCTCAAAGCACAGGATTATAGGCTGAGCCACTGAGCCCAGCTAGGTTTGGTATTTTAAAAACTTAATATTAATTGCAAACTGTCTGAAGGAATTCTTTGCACTTCTAGATAAATAGCTTCTCCATGTTATCACAAATGGTTAGGATAGGACTCATCATTTTAGTTAACAGAAAGTTATATATAAAAACAATACCTGGATTACCAATCTTCAAAAATTGAGAAAACAAAAAATAAAGTATATTTAAAAACTAAAACCTAACCAGTTTGAAATCTTGCTGTCTTTTACTGAAAACTACATATTTCAGTGTTTATAACTATTATGAATATTCGTTTTCCTTATAAGAATATAACCCCCTTAAAGGTAAGAGCTAATTATATACAACATCTCATTTACCTAGTACTACTTAAAAAAAAAATTCCACACAAGGAAAATTTTTAAACTAAACCACTTCTTGCCCCAAAATTGTTTGCTTTAATCATTTTCCTGCTATCTTATACATAATTATTTAAAACTACTTAGGCTTTCTTTGATCCCCTTCAACTATACTTTGTGAACTGGATTTGGGGCATTATCTTGCATAATACAGCAATTCCCTGAGAAGTAATGGAGGTATTCTGGTCTGTTTACTTGTGCAATAAATAGTTCTAATTAGTAGGTTTTAAAATTTAAATATTTGTATATGTGTGTTTTCCTCTTTTCTTCCCATCGGTGACTTTTTACTATTATCAAAGACCTTTCTCTAATAGTCCTTCCTCCTCCTCTCTAAATTTGCTTTTTGTAATTTATGTTTTCAAAGTAAAAATATCAACCTTGCTAAAATTGTATTTTAAAAAATTTTAAGCAGACCAAGTATGGTGACTCACATCTGTAATCCCAGCACTCTAGGAGACCGAGGTGAGGACTGCTTGAGTCCAAGAGTTCAAGACCAGCCTGGGTAACATAGCAAGACCTTGTCTCTAGAAAAAATAAATTAGCTGGGTGTGGTGGTGAATGCCTGTAGTCCCAGCTACTTGGCAGGCTGAGGCAGAAGAATTGTCTAGGCCTAGGAAGCCAAGGCTTCCATGAGCTGTGATTGTGTCACTGCACTGGGTGACAGAGTGAGATCTCCATTAAAAAAAAAATTAAGTAAACCAGCTTAACTAAGAAATTTACAGTAAAAAACTGAAGTCATTGTTTTCTTTTTGAGTCGGAGTCATACTCTGTCACCCAGGCTGAAGTGTAGTGGCATGCTCATGGCCACTGCAGCCTCGACTTGCTGGGCTTAGGCGATCCTTCTGCTTCAGCCTTCCAAGTAGCCAGAACTACAAGTGCACGCACACCACCACACCGGGCTAGTTTGTTTATTATTGTACAGACAAGGTCTCAACAAGTTGCCCAGGCTGGTCTTGAACCACTGTGCTTAGGCAATCCTCTTGTCTCCACCTCCCAAAGTGCTGGGATTACAGATGTGAGCCACATCACCTGGCTGAAATCATTTTTAAATGACTTAGAATCAGTAAAAATGACTCAGAAGGTATTTTTGTTTATTTCCAAGTTTCCTCAATAAGGAAACTATGAGAACTAAGGTAGTTATGTGCCATTGTACCAAACATGCTGTTAATACTTGCAGCAATTCAGTGACACTATTTGATAAATGAGGGGGTAGTGGGGGTCAGAAAAAATCTTAAAATACCAAGAAATATACTAATTTGTTGCCATACTACATTCCTTTATGTATGTCCAAAAAGCTCTGGTCCATTTTTATGGCAAAATATGGGTTAAAAAGTCCTTTCAGCTAGCATGGTGGCTCACGCCTGTAATCCCAGCACTTTGGGAGGTGGAGGTGAAAGGACTGTCGGAGCTCAGGGGTTCGAGACCAACCCGGGCAACTTAGCAAGACCTCATCTCTACAATAAATAACAAAATTAGCCAGGCATGGTGGCACGCACCTGTGGCTCCAGCCACTTGGAAGGCTGAGGTGGAAGGACTGCCTGAGCCCAGCAGGTCGGTGACCATGAGCATGCCACTGTACTTCAGCCTGGGTGACAGAATAAGACACTGACTCAAAAAAAAAAGTCTTTTCACTGAACTGAAATTTTTGAAACATCATTAATAAGTCATAGTAAAAGAAATATTTAATTTACCTGCAGACCAGATCTTTAGCATCTTATCCCAGGAGCCACTGCAAAACTGAACAGATGCACATGAACAGAAAAAATACATGTAATACAATTCATAGTATTTGCCTCAATTTTTTTCTAGTTAACTTAAAAACCTTTATTTTGCTTGCATAATATTTATGCTTAATAGTCTCCTGGAAGCAGCACTATCAACCAGTCTGGCAATCAAATAAGCTGTCATTCTTTTTTTTTTTTTTTTTTTGGGT